AAAGTATCAACAGGGCAGGACGACATTCTGCGATCAACCTGAGAGCTGCTTGTCGATGGGCTTGATGAGTGAAATCCCATCCCGTGGTGAGATCTAGTGCTTGACCGAGGCGTAGTCGAGGAAGTTTGCCTTGCTCGTTCTGCTTCTTGGCCTCGTTGGTCATGCGAGGTGGATGTAGATCTCCATCACGTCAGCCTTGTGCCCATGCTTGGCTGTGACCGCTTGGTGTATGAAGGTCTTCACATTCTTTGGGAGTGACTTAGGACTGCGGTGCCAGTCATGATCCTCCACACCAAGCCACTTGTTGCTCTCATTGGTTGGATACACCCAGCATACTCGACATGGGTGTTGGGACTGCTCCAAAAACTGTATCGGTGAAACCAAATCCATGGGGTGCCATTTTCCATCATCAGCGCTGCCGAGAAGATGAGTTGGTTTTCCCAGCAAAAGATCAAGGTTGTCAACGCCAGCAGTGAAGTTCTTGTGCTGGTCAAAGCAAAAAGTGTCTGACTTCGAGATCTCATAGGCTGTAGTCGAAGCCGCTAATGAGGCATCTGCGGCCGCGACAAAGGAGATCATCAGCAAAAAGGCGCTGCGAGCGATTCCATGCACAGTCTTGTGCAGAGAAGCATCTTCGTGTATCTGCTCGAGACTCTTCACCTCATAGGCGGCAAAGTGCTTCTTCAACGGTCCAGGAACTCCTCGCAGTCGTGCTCCGTGTAGTGTTCGCCATGGACCATCTGTAGTTCTTCCTCCACCCCTTCCTGATAGTGCATCATGGCGTCCTCCCACTCTTCCTTGGACATCATCATGAACATCTCCGGCTGTGGTGTGCCGGTTCTTGCTGTGGGGGACTTCTCCTCCATGCCACGTCGTGTCACCACCGGTGGGATTGGACCTTGTGTCAGCTGTTGCACCGTCTCCTTCTCCTTCAGCTGCACGTTGATGTGGAAGTCTCCCAGATCCGCACGGTAACGTGGTGCTGGAAGCTTCTTTGGATACCCCTGTGGGTTGTTCTTCTTCTCGATTGGTTGGACGATCTGCGTAGAAGAGCTTGATAAGGTTGCTTCCGCTGGTTGACTGAGACGTTCCCAGCGCGAGCCACATCCGAGACAGGTGTACCAAAAGTGTCCCCGTCCAGCTCGGCGTCGAAGTTGATCTTCTGGATGCTTGCAATCGTCTGGATCCTTGGCCCAGGTCTTTTGTGCCACTGACCTTGAAAGGGGCTTGCCAATCTGCGTCCTGAGAGTCCACTGAGCGGGATCTGCGCTCTTGGTCTTGACATGCTTCTTGCGGTCCTCCTCCGTCTCGAGCTCGTAGATGTCCTGACGTCTGGTGAGGTACTCCATGGTGAGTTCTGTGCGCATGCTCTTGAACAGCACAAAGATCGCCAGCACCAAGCGTTTCCAGCGAGTCTCGGCCACTAGAGTGCGATCCTGAGGAGTCTTCTTCTTTTCTGGTTGAGGTTCTGGCTCCTTCAGAATCTGAGCTGCACGGTTCCTCAAAGCGGACATGTCGAGCTCGCCTTGCACACAAAGACTTGAACACGTTCATAGGCTTCGGAAGTGAATGCACGGCATCAACCAAGCTTCTTCGAAGAGGAAAACGATGTGCATCTCTAGCTTGAGGTTTCTTTGAAAGCTCAACAAGTTCAACTTCTGAATCATCACCTATGAAGAAGTGTTCACAGCTCCCTTGACTTTCCGGACTCTGAGAACCCAGGCTCACCTCGAAGTTGTGGTCCAAACTGTGGCTGCCATGAGCCTGTAGCGCAGGAAAAGTAGACAAGGAAGACTGGGCTGGTTGGACTGCATGAAGTGTCACTGTCATGGACATCATCTCGTGTTCCAGCAGCTCGTCCTTTTCCACCAGAGTCACAACGGGCGAATTTTGCCCAAGGGCCACCTCCTGGACTCCATCGTCCCACAAGCTGACCTATTGTGGAACTTGACCAAAAGGGTCTTGCAAGACACTTCTGTTTTGCAGCTCCTTTCCTTCACCGGTTCCGTGGTCGCTTTGGGGGATATTTATCACGGTCGGCAACAGGGCGTGAAGATGAACTGGCGGCCATCGAAGAAAAGCCGTTTGGGCAGAAGCCGGTGGCGTCGAAATCAACCGCTCCCCCACAGAAAGAAAATCGGCCAGTGTTGCACTGGTCGAAGCAAAAACCACGGCGCCAGTCCAAGGCTGCTGCAATGAACGGTAGCGCTTGTCATGTGTGTTCCACTGGTCACGAATGACCATGCGATGGCCATCTTCAAGTCTGGCATAGGTCACCCTCTCTGGCTCCAAAGAGGTTGTATCTTGAAGGCCAACGCAATCTTGAGGAAAGATCATAGCATAGCGAGAACCTGGAAAGCTCTGCAAGAAATGGAGTTGACCTTGATGAAGTAGCCAAACAGTCACGGTGTTCGGATCATACTGAGCAACATGGAAATGAAGAGGTCGGTCTGTCTGAAGGACGAAGGAGTCCACGTCTGGATCTCGCCGGTGTGATACCGGCAGATTCCAACCACTCGGACTGAAGTTGGTCAAACTGACCGCTCGATGGGCAGTTCCCAGTCGTCTCATGCTGGCTGTCTGACCTTGACCTGGAGTCAACAAGTTGTTCTTCAAGTCGATCGTGGCCTCGATGTGTTCCAAGAAGCTGACTGGAAGAAGTGGCAGAGTCTGGAACTGGTCATCATCCTGCAACACGGTGAACCGCAAGACCGCGTTCACCTGAGCGACTCCAACAGGCACTTCCAGCTGCTTCACAGCCTTAGCTTCACCGCCAACTCCCCCAGCTGAAGGGAGTGGCGAGTTTCCCTGCACAGGAATGCACTTCAGGTTCCTCTGCCTCAGGCTCTTCTCCAGCTCCTGGAGCGCAGTGGCGCCAATCACAGCCTCTTCAGCGGCGGTGTCGACAAGGGCCTCATCTGCGTAGCACTGAACACCAGCAAAGATCGTCAGCCGGCGTGGCGGACTGCTTGAAGAAGAACCCATAGCCATCATGAACTGCATTGCAGGTACTCCAGGGGCTGTTTGTCCTCCAGTGTGAACAACAAACTGCTGTCTTGGAGGGCTGCTGCTGGCATCAGCTCGTTGAGACAAAGGGCAATTCTTGGCGAAGTGTCCAAGCTCATTGCAACTCCAGCAGCGTGTCCTGCTCTCCAAGTCTTCTTCATTCCCTTTCCATGAGCGACTGGATGACTGTTTCCTTTTGGATTTTCCTTTGCTTCGACCCTTGACAAAAGGTCGTCGGACTCCTTTCTTGCCTCCTTTGGAACGACCAGTCGACCATGTTTCACATAGCCTCTTTCTGTCTTGCGCTTCTGCAACTCACGTCGGGCGTCACGGTAGGCCAAGTGGTAAGCCTTGAGCTCAATGGCCTCCGTCTCCTGGTACTCACGATCCTCCATGTAGAACAGGGAATTCCCATTCTCATCGCAAGAGGCGGATTCATCGCCATCTTCATGTGGCCAACTCTCAAGATCCATAGGATCACCTTCTCCTCGTTCTCAGGGTTGTCCGGGTAGTAGTCCTGATAGTAGTCGGACGTGATCATGTAGTTCCTTGAGCTGGAGGGCTCTTGAGATCGGGCCAACATCTCTGGTCTGTCAAGAGGTCGCAGAAGGTTGGCGATCTCATCAACAGGACAAAGCATGGGGCCTCTCAACAGGAGCATCTCTCTCTGCAGGTCGTTCAAGTTGGCATGCTTCAAGAGGATCCGGCCACATAGACGGTCGTTGATGACCTCCCCAAGCTGCAGTTCCATCTCTTGCTTGGCCAGCGTCTTGGCCACGATGTAGGAGGTGAAGCTTTCACCTTTCTCTCTCTCTCCATCGAAAAGGACTTGTCGATCGCCTGAGGTGCAGTGGCTTCCAAGAAAAGAGCGTACTTCTGGTGAAGGGCACCTAAGATCGCTCCATAGCCATTGGCTGAAAGTAGCACGTCAGTTGGAATCGTGTCAGCGATTCTCCTTGGCTGGGAACCTTCAGGAAAGGACTGTAGCAACTTAATGCCTCTCTTCTCAACCGGGACATTTGATTCATACTCCCATAGTGCAAGGAGGTTCAGCCATGATCTCAAAGTCGATGGTGAACCATTCCATGAAGGCAGCGTCTTGCGCTCTCCAGCTAGGGCCTGATTCAAGGCACTTGCGATCAACTGCTCAGGGGTCTGTGCACTCGTGGGCACAGCTGCATTCGTTGGGGCTGACTTACCCAACATGGAAAAGGCGCTCGTCGGCGAAGTCGTCGAAGCGTCATTGGGCTGGGCACCTTGGCTACCTAAGGCACTTGTAAAGGCCGCAGCGAAGAACTGTGGTGCATGCTGTGGTGCACCTCCGGGTGAACTCTGTGGCTGCTGCTGCATCTGCGGCATCGTCTGTGACGTTCCAGCCGCTGCAAAGCTCGTAGGCCATGTAGTTGGTGGCCATGTCGAAGTGACCCTCGCAGCCTGGCCGGCGGGCACGCTGTAGCCAGGATTCCTTACCAAGGGTCGAAACCTTTCATCCAAGGTGCTGTCGTCGTCCTAGCAGGATCCAACCTGCTCCGCCTACCACTGTAAAAGGCAGGAGTTCGGGGTGTCTTCCGGAATGCTAACAAGCAAACGACGTGGCTCTTTTCCAATGCGCACCCATGTGACTCAAGGCGCCTGAACCCGATGGCAACAGTCGGATCTAAAGCATCTCAACACTGTTCGAACCTTCATCAGTTGAGAACAAGCACACCAGCCGGAGCGAGCGCCATGGGACCAAAGCGCGAGACATCCGTGCCAAACCCAGCTTTACAACGCCCAGCTTTGGAAACAACATTCCTTGGAATTGTTTGGTAAAGACTTGTTTATACACTGTAAGTTCAAAAAAGAGTTTAACTTTTCACCATTCGCCCCTGACCAAAGGAGATCTACTACTATTTGGCTCAGGGGCATTTGCTGCGAAGTGACAACATCACATCCGAGTCTGCTGCTGTGTCAGCCCGAGTGAACGGCGACCAAGCCCTCACTGAGTGTCTGACTGCTGAGGGCGGACCGCTTGCCGTCGGAGCGATGCCTGTAGCGCCGACAGCGAATGAAGAAGGTGCGAAGGCTTTAGTCGAGGCAGTGTCCAGTCAGGAGGCCAAGACCGTGAAGACCAAGAAACCAAAGAAGGAAACACCAGTGGAGAACGCGGAGCCAAAGTCTGTGCAACAGTGTCTTAGCAACAATCAAGAAGTTCTCTGAGAAACTAAATGGTGTCAAGTGGTTGATGTGTTCAATTCTGAAATATGAAGTTCAGTTGTTAGAAATTTGTGATGCCCCGAAAAGAACTCTTTAGTCGGCCTGCTTCTCGGCCACTCTCCAGGCTTGCTCGTGAGCGGATGGAGGAATGCCTCAAGAAGTCAGCCGACGCCCGCAAATACAAAATGTATCTCTGGGGGAGCTGGAATATTCCGGGGACTTGTCTGAGCAAATGCTCCAATGCAGTGAGTTCCTTGAAACCAGCTACAGAAAGATGCAAACGGCCCTACGTCAGAAAGATGTCAGCGACCCTGATCTTGAGAAGCACTTTCGCCCCATTGACTTAAAGCTTGAGTGGCTTGTCACTGCGGAGGCTCTAGAAGGGATCAACCAAAAGTGAACCCCCATCTAGCATTATTTTTGGATACAATGAACATATAAACACAAAGAAATCCTTTCGCTTCTCACTGGTCTCATGTTTTCCCATCCTGCAAGGCCGCAGCCAAAGCTCTTCAACAGGGGCTCCAGCCGAAGCCCAAAAAGAAGTCCAAGAAGAAGGTCAATGAGCCGCCTTTGGCAGAAGAAAGGCTTAGATCCTGCTCTGCACCCTTACCATCCAAAAGGATTTCAGTTGAACGTATACTTACCGTTTCTTCAAGAATTGTGTAAAAAGCTCATCTCACACTTCAACTAAAACTCAAAAGTAAAAACAGAAGGTTGTTTCAGGGGGTGCGCAGGTGTAGGTAGCGTTGAAGGCACAGCTGCGTGGCTACGTTAGTTCACTCTGTGTGGGGTTGGCAATCAACCTGTGCTCAATAGATTAGATTGCTGCAGGGTTAGCAGGTGAAGTTGTTGCCCGTGGCATCTTGCCAAAAGAGTTGCCGCGTGCTGGAATTTAGGGTGAAACAAGAGTCTCATTGTAGGGACAGGTGTTGCGCCTTACTTTTGCTATTCCTTGTCCAATTGGACCTGACCATATTCTAGACTTGATCACTTGCTTGGAGGTGCTTCTACTTGGTGGCTTTCACTGGCCCGGTGCTCTAGACGCCAACGTTATGAATCCTTGCCTCACAGCAAGACGGCTCATACCTATATCAGTTCCTAAGCAAATCTGTCCGCATCTATGTGTTGGGGGTTGGATGGGTGTAATGAATGACAAGTTCTTCTCCTAAGGTATGGTGGGTTCTGGGCGCGCGCATGCTGCCCAAATCACGGACCTGGCCAGAGCGAACATGGAAGACAAGTTTGACTCACAAGCATGTGGAGCAATAGCATCACTTGGGGGCTTTGGTAAATTCCCTGGTAACGAAGAGAGGGATTTGCATCGTTGGTTGCATGAGCTGAATGGTGTTCAGCTTCGACCTTACGAAGTCACTATGGAGTTGAATGCTTCATAGCTTGAACAAGTTCTGTCTACTTGGAGTGAAAGGAAGTGTGAAGGGATTGTATAGTTTCTTTTGACTCAGCCTGTCAGGTTCGTGGCAAGAGCGAACTGCAGAACACGGCAATTCCAATGCTACTTCCACATGAGATCCTGCACGAGCTTGCCAAAGCAGGGGATGCTCAGGCTTGTTTTTTCCCATTTCACTCCTTCTTTCTGCAAGTGCTCCCTTGCAGTTTCGCCGGTCTATGACGGGCGCAAGATCCAGCCGCGCCATTGAAGAGTTTTGGGCTCATTGCGAGACGCTTCCTGAAAGGCAAAACCACCCGTGTCTCAGGGATCCTGAAATTCCACGCGACCGAAAACTAGTATGTTTGGTAATGTTTTTGTGTTTGAGAAGTCGACCAAACGCAAGCAGAAGTCGACCAAACACAAGCGGTTCCTTGTACCAGGTTTCGCCCAACACGTCTCTTTACATTAAGGATTGATTCCTCTCACCATACACATTGATGGGGCAGAGTTCTACAACAACTCTGAGTTCGTAGTGTGGAGCGTAGGATCGGATGCCCATGTATGGGATGCAAAATTCCCTGTTGCTATAGTCCCTTACGAGAACATGGTAGACGCACCTGTGCACATCTTAGTTGTCATTCTTTTTACTCTCAACATGGAGCCCAGCTTCCCTGACGCCGCAACGCCCAGGCGCGGAACGCAGTTGATCAACTTGTGGCCCAAGTGATTGGATGGTCTTTTGGCTGTGCAGCCAAAGGCAAGGCGCCGCTGCACGGTTGTTTTGGAGAGTCGTTCGAAGGCTATCGGCGCAAGCTTGCTGGATTGGAGCTTGCTTTAGCCTGGCGAGCGTGCTACCTAGGACCTAAATATGATTGGAAAGCGAGGAGGGAGACGAACAAGTTCACCAGATCTTACATGCATAATTTCATTTGCGAAACATGTATGGCGCAAAAGAAGCACAAGAACTGGGACTGCCGCCTGTCTTACAAAAACTTCTATCCTACAGCAGTTCATCGCCTCCTGACTGGAATTAGTTCGGGGCTCAGCCCAAATCTCAATTGTAACGTAGACTGATGTAGACTGTGCTCATTGCGCTGCAAATGTTTGGGACACGGTCGCATGGCCTCCTCTCCACGCGAAGGCGATGAAGACTACAGGCGCTCGTCGCCCGTCCTCAGCCCGTGGATTGCAGTGGAAGGCTGGAGAGTAGAGACGTGCTTCAGGGATCCAATGCATTGCTGCTTTTTGGGGACCTGCCGAGACCTCTATGCATCAGCCCTGGCCTTTTGGTTACGTAATGGTTTCTTATTGGGTGGTCCTGGAACCATGCAACAAAAGCTCCGCGCAGTCTCTGACATGCTTTGAAACGAATGCCGTGAGGCCAAGCAGTTTGGATGAATACAATGTCATCGAACATGTTTTCTTTTTAGTTCTTGAAGTCAGGGTGCACTCCATGGATCCTCGCCCTGCGACTTGCGTTGATCTCAGGATCAAACTGAGCTTCAAGAACTTCACGGTGTCCAACACCCACCTCGAACCGGTGAGTGAGTTCCCCGAAATGGGCACAGTGTACAAGGCGTCATTCATGAAGAGTTGCTTGTGGTGGTTTACAATAACAGCCATCGACTTGTCAGAGAAGTGGCCCAATGAAGCTAGTTCACTTAAGAATTGAAAAACATCACTCAAAACTCATACCTGTCAGTGTAGTGTGCGTTTAGTTTCCCTCATCTTAGGATGAGATGTTGAAGCTCATCGCTGTGTGCTTCTGGCACCTACACCAAGCAATCTTTTTGATGGACCAGAACGGTATTCTTTTGGTACCTGAAGATGGGAAGGCCTGTGAGTTTTGGAAGTCACCCATTTCCCTTTTTTCACAGTTACTGTTAGAACTTCGCAGGCTATCAGTGAATATGTGGAGGTTCACCTGATCGCTTGCCAGCACTTGGCGCACACGTGTGTACAGAATGGGTGGGTCCTTTTCAAATTGAGACCTAAAAACCACCAGCTTGACCACCTTGGTCGGGACGCTGCAAGAACTCTGCTGAACCCGGCCAAAGTCATGGCCTGTTGGAATGAAGAATCATTCCTGGGGTGCATAAAGAGAATTGGGGTTCGTTGCCATGGGGGCAACACAATGTTGCGACTGCTCCAGCGATACATTATGTTTCTCAGCTTGCGCTGGCACAGCCAATAGCTGTGAACTTGGGTGTGCGCAGCGCCGAAAAAGTTGAGGGCCCAACGTAGGGCCATCCAAGTCATCATGGCACCCTCCCACCGGGTGATCTAAACTTATATATAGGTGGTGGTGTCGAGTTTGTTACTGATGTTATGGAAACATTTTGTTTTTGAGATGCCTTGGGCGATGTATCCAAAACACAACTTGTTGCATGGCTTGGTAGCAGCTAAAAGGCCTATAGTGGTCCAAGGGTTTTGAGCCATCAGTCGCTAGGAGCAAGGCTCTGGGCGCTTCAAAAAAACATGTGCAACCCCTCACAACAACAAGTCCAGGTCAGTCCTGGTGACAAGAGTTGCCCTAAACACTGTTCACCCCTTCTGTGCAAGAGAGTTTGCTCACCACAGTTTTTTTGGGTGTGGGTTTCCTTTTATACGCGCCCACGCGCAACGTTTCTCAGTCATTTCTATTTGCCATATGCATATCGGTGGTTTTGTGGTTCTCGATTTTGCTTGTGTCTCCTTGGGTTTGGAGTTGTTGTTTTCTAGCGTTGGTGAGTTCGAGTCGGGGTGTCGCCAGGGTCTACAGGCAGCGTTCTATCCAAAGTGCGACCAACCACTCAAAGTCGCACTGCTATAGCGCAGCCTCGTTGACCGTCAAACACTCTTTCCAAGCAAAGCTTCAAGTAGCAAACGAAGTCGTGCAAACGCTTTTTCGTTTTGCAACGAACGACTTAAAAAGACAGCATTTTCAAGGTCAAGTCAGGACCTGGTCCATCTGTACTCTGTGATGATTGTCTTGCATATGTCCACCTATATGTCTGCTGTCGCCGTGACCACAAAGCGTTGTTGAAAACCATCGTGCTGATACAAACGAAGGCTTCCGTGAGCACCGGAGACAAACGAGAGCGTTTCATATAGTATATCTTCGTTGGTTGTTTACGTTGTCCTTTGCGCAGCGTTGGATTGTGTCGGTTTACGGCCCACAGGAACCTTTCTCTCAAGCGCAGCACGAAACAAGGCGGCCGGCATAAACAGTCGTTTCAGTCAAAAATGGTCATGACTCTCAAACAAAGAAAAGGCGCTAGTACAAACTGGTAGATGCAACCGTTTATGCAAACCATCACTCAATTGAACCTATGATCATGTGCTCGAAGCTGTCTCGGGTCGGTTGATGTTCTCAGCCCAACTAGTTTTGGATTTCATCCGTGAACTGCGTTGGTCCGGGTTTTCCAGCCATAGCACTTGCTTCTGTATTCCTTCCCTGCTGGCATTGGTAGCTATCTGCACTGGTGTGATTGGTTTTTGGATTGGGGTCATCGGAACGTTTCTAGCACTTTCTCCTGGAGCTCGACGCTTTTTAAGCTTCTGCTTCGGAGCTGTGTTTGCGAGCGCCGCTCACATCGCTGTTCCTGAACCTGCCCGGGTTTTAGCGCAGCGAGACAGGCTGAGGGAATACCGTGCATGAGTGGTGGCCTGGGTTACTCTACTGAGTGTTGCAGAAGCCCTTCGGTTCCTTCTAGTGGTGAAAGTGCGGATTCTTGGGACGTGGTGAACAGCCCTGCCAGATCCCCGGGGGTAGAGCAGAGCCCAGTTCCTGTCATTTGGACTGCTGAATTATATCGGCAGAGAGGTGTCTCGCCAACTGTCGAATTCCACGATCAGAGAGCCCTTTCATTGCTGTGCGCGGCGGGAACCTTGCCAGCCTTGGGTGAGATCATCTTTGAGTCCCTTGACTCGCTCTACGAAGATCTTGCCTGCCAGATTCCTGATTCGAGAAGAAATGGGGTTAGTGTGATTGCCAGGATTACTCGTGCAGTGCGTGCCGGGGTGTTTGCCAAGTTCAAGCTCGGAAGAAACTCAGCGTGCTCTTCGCGCTAGTCACTAGTCCTTTGCTGCCACCGTCCCGAGAGACCAAGTGGTACGTGTGTCTTAGGTGCGCCCGCTACCCTCGAGGCTTCCTGACCAACAACTACGGGACTTACATCAGCCAGGTCACGGATCCCAGGACTAGATCCTTTCAACCATTGAGTGTGTCACATTCTTTTGATACTTTGCCCGAAGTCGTTGCATACTTGGCCGGTGCGAACTCGCAATGGCCGCCTTGGCTTCAGTAGCGGGTGCTGGATTGACGGAAGGCTGCATCCGTAGCCAGGTGACTGAGAGCGGTCCCCCAGACCGTGCATTCACTCAAGTTTTGTTGCAAGGGCCTTGAGAAGAAGGCGAAATTTTGTGGAGAGCATCATGTTATCTTCTTCGATGCCGGCCAGGAGGTTTCACGTTTCACGATCGCAGCCCCATTTGTGATGGAAGTGGTGACCCATGTCGGAACCCTGGTAGATGCAGATGGTGTTGCAGCAGCTATGACTCACGAAGCAGAGGTTGTATACCCGGTCCCGCCACATGGGATCCCTGAACATCTTGCTGATCGATTTGCCATGGGAGTCATCGGTGCACCTGCGCCGAATCAGTGGCAGGCAGCAACCTCAAGCTGCCGACGTGTTCCGGTTCGAGGTGGGCGGGACTATAGTGAGGCCAAGGCCGCTTCCACATGGGAGGCGACCAACGAGTGGATAACTGCCCAGCAGGACGATGCCGACGGAGCCCTGCAGGACTATGTGACTGCTGTCGAAGAGCCCATGGAGCCGGAGTTGACAGAAGCGCTGGAGACAGGTACCCCGAGGTGATGCCAGCTCCGCCAGCAGACCAGGTGCAGCAGCTGCAGGCTCAGGTTGCCGCTCTCCAAGCTCAAATAGCCGAAGCTTTGAAACCGAACGCAGCTCCATCGTATCAGATTCCCAGGGAGTTGTTTCCAGGCCAGTATACGGGCCAATTGGATGCTGCAACTTGGAGCAAGTTGAAGACCATGGCTGGGCCATCGCCTGCCAGGTTGGGTCGCAGCGAAGCTGGTCCAAAGCGTGCAGCAGCACCGCCAGCTGTTCTGATGGATGCCCAAGCCGAATACAAGGCAGAAGCCATTGCCGACGACGAGTTTGCTCAGCTTGCAGCCTCCTTGACCGACCCCATGCAGAAGTTGATGGCGCTTCAGATGAAGCAGCAACAGGAGTTGATCAGCCGGTTAGCTCCGAAGGGTCCTCAGGATGCCCTCCTCACCCACGCCCTCACAGGATGGGGCAGCGAGCCCGCCAGCAGCAGCGCCGGAGTTCGAGGTTGCACTGCTCGAGAGGCCTATTTGAAGCAGTGGCACGTATAGTCACCATGAACGCCATGAAAGACTTGGGAGTCAGCCAGCCGTATCCAGGGATGATGCGAGACTACATCGAGAAAAAGGTGCCCTTGAACGACATGAAATTATTGACGCTCTTCGGCCACTATCTGGCTCATGCATGGGAGACGGCTTACAACGAGAGCAACGAATTGATGTTGGGGTATGTCTCCCGCGGCCTGTTGATGATCGAGCAGAGTGCCATGGATGCAGGCAAGACTCAGATGGCTTGGCTCTTGGTGGGTCTGCCAGAACCAAATTGGAGCGTGATCAACCAGAACAAGAAGAGGTCGGGCGTCCAACCTTTTGCACGCCTTGCCCAACCCAGCTGGTTGGCAGCCAACATTGGTTTTTTGAAAGACCTGGATTTCATGGAAACTCGGCTGAAGAGCGCTGGAGGGAAACCGACTTCCAAAGAAAGCGAGGAGGCCGTGGACAAGCCAAAGAAACCGTGGCCAAAGAGGAAAGGCAAATCGGACAAGAGCGGATCCGAGACAACCAGCTGACCCAGCAGCTGAACGGAACTATGAGCGGCGCACTTAGGCAGTCTAGTAGTCAGGCGGAAGTGGGTGTGATTAGCGGTGCCTTTGAAGAGGATCTCCATGCTTTCGATGTGCGGCCCAGCCTTCATGTCGAGCAGCCAAGAGCTTCCGATAAGTTTTGCCCTAATCCTGGCTCCAAAAGATTTCAAGACCCGCTTAATTTTGATGCTGCTTCCAAATCCAAATATAGTTTTCTTAATGTAATTCACGCATGTTTGCAATTGCATCTCAAGTCTCATATTGGATTCAGGGATTTTGTTCTGCTTTCATGTGAGGCTGTTTCTCGCACCGTGCAGCCTGGAGTTTGTCGCTCCAGGGGCCTTTTTCCTTGTCCCCCACCTGTGTGGAGATGGACGGGATCCCAGCACCCATCACCCAAAAGAAGGAGAAGGCGTAAGTTTTTCAAACTTCTCAACGCCGTCGTCCAGCAGATTGTTTGCTGTTTGAACTGGCAAGCCTTAGGGCATGTTAAGTGCCCTCCTCCTTCTGCCTGCGTTGGTTTTGGCTACACTCATGAACAGTTGGCTATGATTGAACGGATCGAAAGCCATGTAGTCCATTTCCTCAAAGCCGGCGTTTTCGACTCCGCTGACTTGGGACGGTGTGCTGACAAATTTGATCGGGTTTTGCATGCATGCCAGGAACTGCCTGATGATTGTCAGGATGTGGACCTTTTGTTTTTTGTGAATGAACTGAACAATTCTTTTGATCCGTACGGTTCAAAACCTAGAGCAAGGGGAGCTGTGTTGACTAAGTGTCACCCCTTTGCTTGCGAAACTTCGCGTGAGTCCGGGAATGACGTGTCGCCTGAGTTCATTGATCTTGATGCTAGTACAGCAAAACCAGTGGTAGCAGATAGAATTAAGTGGGCCCATTCACCGCAATTTGACCCACGGCCATTCTTGACTGATCCAGTTGTTGCCAGAGCCTCTGCTGATCCTGAAGCCTTGAGACTGCCGGAAGAACGTTGGATCAAGAAGCCCATCGGCAAAGTCCACTGTTCGCGGCAAGAAGTGCTCAAGCTTGCTTCAAAATGGGACAGCAAAGGTTGCATTTTCAATTGCAGCGATTGCAACCATGATGATGAACCCTGTTGTCATCAATGGTAGGATGAGATCATATAGTAATTACACTAAATCCCTGGCTCCCGGCTGTCTGATAGCGCTAGTCCAGCTGAAGGATGACGAGGTGCTTAGAATTAGCGCGGATGATCTAGCTGGGATGTAATATACCTTCAAGGTTCCCAATTCGCGGGCACGTCGCAATTGCCTCAGAATGCGTTTCCAACCACATGAACTCCTGCATTTGTCTTGTTTTAATCCTTCAGTCGACACTGGGCCATGCTATGTTGCGTTGGGCG